TGCTGAGCTCTTCCTAGAACTCACCTGGCTCCGATTCTGCCTTCTCCCAACAAGCTGATTTTGCTGGTTGTTCAGGTTGTGCACTTCAGACCAGTTCCTCAGGACTCTGCAAGTGATTAAACCAAATTCACTTCTGTTTAATTTCTTAGCAAAGGCTATACTGTTATTTGCAGAGGGTTGGAGGGAAATCAAGCATCTTCTCTGTTGTTTTAATTTTGTGCTATGTTCTGCCTCTACCATAACTTTCTTTCCTTTCCTTTTGGGATCTTTCCCCCACTTTTGTTTGAGCTGATTAACCAAGAAGGGTTGCACGCACAACACCAACATCACAACATCAGCTTCTTACTGGTTTGCAACAAAATGGTTTTCTAGTCCAAGACCTGCATTTGACATTTCAGATTTAATTGGCTACAAAACTGACCATCCAGTCATTACTGAGGACACTGAAGTATTAGGGAGTTAGTCCCATTGAACACAGTGGTTTTTACTTATGAGTAAACACATAGAAAACTGTGCTTTTGGTGCTTATACAGGTATGGATCAGCAGTTAATGTTTAAAAAGGCGATTGCTTTCCTAGTTTTTCAAATCACAAGATGTAGATTTTGCTAGATATTAATTCTTCAGCTATGAGACCACCAGTGTATAGCAATGAAAAGAGCAATAAGCAATAATAGTGAGCTTATATATATATATAAAACTTTAGGTGGCCTGCAGGCCAGATTTGGCCTCAAAATGAATTTTATTTGGTCCCTGTAGCCTTATCAGAATTTAATCAAGGTTTGGCCAAAGACCTGGCAGCAATTTTAGTTGGAAAAGCAAGAGAAAGGAAATAGTTGATAGCTGACTTAGGATTCTTCCTCAGAACTAAATTTCTCCTGCAAATGTGCTCAGTTCCAAAAATGTATGCAGCTTCACAAACTGAGACATTGTATTAGTGCCCAAAGCAGATATACTGACCCAGGTGTTTAGCAGGAGGATGGATGCTGATCTGTAAAACAGGTGAGACAGATGTTGTTCCATACTGATTGGCTTCCAAAGAATTGCTTCATGTGGTTATTGATCATGGGTGGTGGTCACTTCCTCCTAAGGAACCCACTACTTCTCCTTATTGATCAGTTCTTCCCTGTTGGTGAGGAGAAGTAAGTCAGGCTAGAGACATTTTGGCTCCTAAGGTGAACCACAAAATGGCGGCCCTTCATCGCCAGATAAGAATGGATGAATGAAGATCAACATGAGGAACAAAGAGGTAATAAAGATCTGCATTGGGATCTTCTGCCCCTGTGGGTCCTGCTGCCTGAGGCGGTTGCTTCACCTTGCCTTATGGGTGGGCCAGCCTAGAGGATCCAACTAAAGTTTACTCAGAATAGGCCAGTTAAAATCATCAGTAGGATTGGAAAATCACTTGTAGTTTAAGGGTGAATTCTGGATACATAAAAGATTCGGACTATCATAAAAGATGCAGAAGGAAATGATGAATAGTAGGACCTACAAAGGGAAGGATGGAGATTCCTTGGAATCTTGTTTTTATGATTTATGTTTGATATATCTTTGTAAAATTTTAATTTGAAAAACAAGCCTAACTTAGGCAGGGCTGGATGGAGCCAGTGCCCAGAGAGATTGAAGAGTCCTATGATGTTCTTAGAACCGATTCCCACATTGTCCTGAAATAGGTGCCTTCTCTTTTAGGAACAGAAACTGAAAACTGCCTGTGGGAGACTGAAGGCCCCATAAGAAATTCTGGGGTGAGGGCAGCTTCAGGGAGTAAGTGTTGCGGAAATGCAAAGGGAAGAAAGGGGATGTCAAACCCCTCAGGTGAATCTTTTCTGTGCTTCTGCGACATGTCCTTGGAGAACCCTAACTCATGCACTCATCCATAGTAGGTAAAAGAAGACTTTGTCAGGGTGATTATAATGACTTTGAAAAATTCGCCCTGAAGCAAAGGAATCATAACTGGGTAGAGCCACGTCAGATGGCTGGAGTTTGGAGACTACCAATTGTGAGAGGAATTGGAAGCTGCTTCTTCTGGGGTGGTCTTCTCTGTAATCACTGTCCACCAAATTTCAGAGGGTGGAGACAGTCAGCGATGGACCTCCAAGGATGCCCTTGGTGAACGGGCAGATCCATACAGAAACAGGCCCTTTAATCTGCGCAATATTTAAGAGCAAAAAATTCCACCCTGTCTACTGCATATAACAAATTTTAAAATCTTGCATACAACCCAATTATTCCCACTAGCAAAAGTTATGAAAAAATGCCTTCCATTATAAAGGCATTAGAGCAGACAATCATATGGCACGATCTGGAAACAGAAAGCATTCTCATTTTCTTAACATTACTCTGTTGGCAACAGTTACAGCATTAAAACAAAACACAAAGGAATACTTAGGGATGCAAACTATAATTCACAAGGACAGCTTTGCGAAAGTTGGCAGCAGCTGTGCAGTACATCTGAGTGGCATGTAATTCAATATATGTGTGTGTATACAAATCTGAGTGAGGACTTGAACTCGGCTCTTGCTGATCCTAGGTAGACACACTGCTAGCCACCATATGATGTTAGCATTCAGTATCACAGAATCAAAAGGTATATTGTCAGCCCCCTCTTTAGCCTAATTGGCCTGCAAATCTGCAAAGTGATGTCAGGAGGGAGCAATTTGCAGTGGGAGAAATGCTGCAAAAATAAGATTTCCTTTCTTTCTGCAGCTCTCCCTCACAACTCCTTTCCCCCCAGCTAGAGTTCTGGACCCATGTTTCTCAAAGAAGAACTTGCATACCCTCCAACAATCTTCCAATGAAAATAGGGGCACCCCATTCCATCATGATAATTTTACTATTTATACCCCACACCTCTTACTGACTGGGTTGCCCCAGCTGCTGTGGGCAGCTTCCAACATATATAAAAACATAGTACAACATTAAAATTAAAAAAAACCCTTCCCTATACAGGATTGCCTTTGGACGGCTTGGGGGGTCGGATAATTCCATACCCTCCAACATTTCTCTGATGAAAACAGGGATGTCCTATGGAAAAGCAGGACATTCGGAATCAAATCAGAAACTGGGACAGCTTCTCTAAATTAGGGACACCCCTGGAAATCAGGGACACTTGGAAGGTATGAACTTGGTTGCTTGATTCACAGGTCTCCGTTCTTATCTCTGTTGCAGCTCTGAGCTGTTTCTGCTGCGGTACCCTCTCTCACAGCCTAACTAACCGCCTTTTAAAGCTCTTTTGTATATTACTTCAGACACACCTGAATGTCAGCCTTTGGTGCTGTGAAAAACGGCCCAATTCTGTGCAGAGAGCTGAGCAAAAATGGTCTCCCATAAATTGCCATCCTACTGGTGAGTGGTGAAATTGGGCAGCTGGCATTTCATCAGATATTCTCCGTACCTGTGTATGGGTGGCAGTGGTGGCCAATGGGATGCGGCACTGCCACAGAATTGGCCTTCTGGATGCGGTGTCACTGCTAGGATGGGTGGGACTGGCAGGAGTTCAGCCTACACTTGAGTAGGACTCTGGCAGAGACACATACCCGACTGGCATGTTCCCTCCCTTCTGGTCGAGCATTTGGGAGCTTCATAAGCTTTCTTCAGCCTGAACATCACAGCGACCAATGCCAACCGACACCGGCACACTTTGGGATCCGCAGAGTTTGTGCATCTTGCGTGACAGACTTCAGCAACTCAGCATTTTAGCTAATCTACTTTATTTACATATAAACACACACGGAGCACTGCAACATGGCTCCCTCTCTCTCTAGCATCAGACAGCAAAGAGAAAAAGAACAAAGGGCAATAGTCCCACTTCATGGAGCACAGTAACACACTCTGTGGAGTCAAAACATACACCGTCATGTGATAGACAACAATCCCATGACTGCAATCATGGATCAGGAATTCTAACAGGGACAAGTGCTTTCTGACACTCTCACTGGTGTGCCTCAGCCACCCCAACTTTGCTGCCACCCTGTCTTGTCCCGATAAGTAACAGCAATGTCACATCAATGATATTGCACTGTGCCAATTCCTCCTGGGGTGTGAATTCTTAAACAGACCCCAAAAAGAACAATTCCAAGGAACTTCTCTACTGAGAAATTTTGGCTCAGTTTAATACCGAATGAAACCATGGGCTTGGAGGAGGACTGGAATGTGTAGGAGCCAAGCCCTGATGCTTCCTTCAGCAATATTCAAATATATTGCTGTGCACCCACTGTCGTGCCCCAAATTCACCGCCCTATTGACAGGTGGCAAAATTGGCACTGTGTGTGTGCATTGCTAAATATTCTCCAAGCCTCTGCAAATTCTCTTAACAGTTCAGGGGGTGCACAAGAAATAAAATTCTTGGTTAATTTCTTGGAAATATTTTTTTCTGATTTATTTATTTTTTGTCTCAGTTCTAGTTCAAGAGCAAATGAAAACAGCCTATAGAGACAAACTGTTTTGTGTGCACTGACCTTTCCTCATGTTGATTTCCTTTCTACTACAAGTGACATTTTTGCTTATGTTGTCTTTGGCTCTTTCATGTGGAGAAAAACCAGTGATGCAGACTGAGAAACCCATAAAATAGATTTCCATGAGGATGAACGGCATGGTCGCAGCTTACTTTTCTTTCTTTTCTGAGCTGTCGCCAAAATCCCACTTGACATCTACACTTCCATACAACCACTCAAAGTGTGTGTGGGGTTGGGGGAGAAGGAGTTCGCCAAAGGGCACAAGAGATTGGGCATCAAAAACAGCAACGACCGATAAGGTGAACCAGGTTTTCATCTTCTTCTAGAGCAAGAGTGGGGAACCTCCGTCCTGGGGGTCCAATTTGGCTCGCAAAGCCATTTCCCCCCAAACCATGCCCACCTGTCAATCACACCACTTGATGGGCAAGGGGTCAATCCCCTTGGGTGCCGCTTTGCCAGTATATTCCCTGTGGGAAAGAGCAAGATATTGGATCAACTGATAAAAATATATTGAGAATTATGAGTTAAGGCTTTTGTAATAGAAAAGAGTCCTCAAGCTCAGGTGGCACAGTGGGTTAGTGTGTCTGACTGCTAACCAGAAGGTTGGTGGTTTGAGTCCACCCGGGGACAGCTGTGGACAGGATCCCTGCATTGCCAAGGGTTGGACTAGATGACCCTCGGGGTCCCTTCCAACGCTTTGGTTCTATGATACTCAAAAGAAATGGCAATATGTCGTGGTAGTTTTGCCACCTGCTGCAGGCATTTTCATGGCTGGCCAGAAGAGGGAGCACATGTTCCATCCTGTCCTTTTCTTATTATTACTGCAGCTGTCTGAGTACTTCTGCAATCATTACCAGTGCCTTTTCCCTAGAAAAATAGGTGCTGGTACTCACCATGAAGTTGTTAACAGTAAGTGCCACATTTTTTAACCCCCGCAAGGGGTGCTGGTACTGCGTTCCCTTGAATACCCCCTGAAAAAGAAGAGCACTGATCACTAGCATGCCTGTTGTACAAAAGGTATTTCAGGGCTACATCATTCCTGGTTTAGAGATGGGAAATTAAGGGAAAGGTTGCTGTTACTACCTTTGTCGTCTTCTCGATTTATGCTGTTGGGTTAGAATTGCTGGCTCTGAATGGGAGTTCTTGGAAGGGCTGAAGCTCAGTGTTAGAATACAGGCCTTGCATGCAAAATGTTCCAGACTCAGTCCCTGGCATCTCCAGGCTAGACACCTTTCTGAAACTTCAGGGAGCAGCTGCCAGTCAGAGCAGACAATATTGAGCTAGATGGATCAATGGTCTGACCTGGCACAAAGAAACCTCTTCTGTTCCTACCAATATGGATCCATTTGAATTCACCAGCCTGCTGGCTGCTCAGGAACTCTGAAAGAAATGCACCAAACTCATCAAATTGTTGCAGGCTTTTAGTGATGGTGGGGTGCGAGATGAGCCTTATTCTGTTGACTGATGGTGTCTGTAGAATCCTGAGATTTCCTGCTAATATATATTTTTTAACCCTCCCCCAAAATATTACTATTAAAAAACCCAAAGCAAAACAAAAGACTTAATTAAAAAAAAATTGAAAACTGATTTTATGTAGCTTCAGGTAACGAGATCAGGATCAAGCAATATAATCCTCAGAATATAATACAAGCACTGTAACACAGAGGAAGAGTGAAGGTTTGCTATTGTTTACAATGGAAGTCAGATTCTGTCCCACCAAGTGATTTACAGTGGAAACATTACATGAGCTTGACAAATCAGTACTTGAGATTCAGATATCTGATAAGGCCAAGGCAGGGCCGACAAATTCCAGTTGCCAGGATGTAAAGTGTTGGAAATTAAGACTTCACGTTTGTCCACATCAAAAATTCATTTCACGGTACAGAGGGATTGGCATTCATTGGCACTGAATGGAGCGCAACCGTTGGTCACTGCAATGTTGCCAAAATTGGCATTTGCCTTGCTTGGGGGAAAAACAGTTTGTAATTCTCTGCTGCCTTTATGGATGAAGCAACATGTTCTGAGAAGTGCTCCAGCCTGGAAAATAAACAGAGGTTCTGGCAATGGTGGCAGGTGTCCATTGGAATTGGTATGGTGTAATGCAGGAGGTCAACAGTAGGTGGAGCCAGAGCCAATGATAAGCAAATCCCGTTCAGGTTTTGTTCCCATCCTCCTCCCTGCTGAGTTCTTCAAGGGTTCCTCTGAGACCAGGGAAGAGGAAGCTGACAGCCAGAGATAACCTCTGGAGTTAGGCAGGTGGAGGCTGGCTGAGGGCAGACTGAGGTTGGTGGGACAGTGACCCATTGCCCTAATAGACTGGGCTCTCCTGGGTTCTGGGAATGCATAGATCAGCAAAGAGTTATGGAACATGTTGTTTCCTGGGGGGGGGGGTCCTGATTACCCTATTGAATACTGAGGAACCCATGGAAACTACAGTTACCCTGGTGCACAGGAGGCTGTTTTTGGTTTTCTAGGGACCAGGAAGGGACGGGTGCCTTGCAGAGGGGAATCCTGGTCAGTCACCACTGCAACACTGAAGTATGTAACGTTTGGGCAAAGAGAAGCCAGTGGCAGAGTCAGGATCAAAAACTGAGGCTTCGAAAGGGAGATATTGGCCTGGAAGTAACCTGGCTCCCATCACATGCCCAGGGAAGGTGTGAAGAGCATGGTGGGTTTCCAAGAAGAAGCAGAAAAAGAAGAGTTTGGCTAACATTCTCCTTTCCCTTCCTTTCCCACAACAAACACTCTGTGAGGTCAGTGAGGCTGAGAGACTTCAGAGAAGTGTGACTAGTCACCCAGCATCTGCATGTGGAGGAGCGGGGAAGCAAACCCGGTTCACCAGATTACGAGTCCACCGCTCTTAAACACTACACCACACTGGCTCAGAATTGGGCTCAAAATTTCTTTTGGATGTATTTTCTGATTTTTAAAAAATTAAAGGTGTGTGGGAATTATGGAAAGCCCAATTCTAGTTTGAGTGGAGGAAGTGTTACCCGTGATTACTGACTAACCAACTTTAAAAGAAATAATTTGGTCAAGTGATCTCCTGAGAACTAGAATAAATGTAAGTAGTGCAGGCCTAAAGGTATGTCCAGACAGCTCTAATTGCAAATGGCAAAGTATTGTTTCAAGCGCTCCCAGTCTCCTCAGCTCAGTTCAGATCCTACAGCTGCCTTTGCCTGTGTTCCTTCCTGCCAGCCCACCAAACTGACGGGGCCCAGTGCTATGCCTTTGGTTCTCACTGCTGGTTTGCAGGGGTGACTGCAAGGGCATCCCACATGCACCACATTCCTGGTGGTTTCTTCTTCCAGTGGGAAACCAAAGTCTCGACCGATTGTCTGCTTGGAATCATTCCTCTGTAGTACCAAGGAAAGCACAGAAGTTAAAAGGAATGGGAACTAAATGCAAGACCACAAACACAAATATCAGCTATGATGTCATTAGATGCCATTGGAACCACTATCAAAGAGGGCTGGGATAGCTCAGTCGGTAGAGCGTGAGATTCTTAATCTCAGGATTGTGGGTTCGAGCCCCACGTTGGGCAGAAGATTCTTGCATTGCAGGGGGTTGGACTAGATGACCCTGGTGGTCCCTTCCAACTCTATTCCAGAGCATTATTATTTACTATCTCCTTGACCTTACAGAGAACAATTCATGAGAATCTGGGTCATTGTTATTATTATTATTAATTAAATTTCTATACTGCCCTTCTCCCATAGATTACAGGGCAGTTTACAACATAAAACCACAGAAATACCACCACAACAAACAAAAACAATACCCCCCACCAACACATAAAGGCTATAGATTGTTTAATTGGCCAAAGGCCTGGGATAAGAGGAAATTTTTTGCCTGGCGCCTAAATATAGGTAACTAAGACGCCAGATGAGCTTGACATTACTTTTTTCAGATACAGAACAGCTGATTCATATGTCTTTTGGGCCACATTCTAAGGGGTTTCTTTGTGGTGGCCCTGAGGTTGTAGAACGCTCTCCCTTCCAAGGCGTGTCTTGTGTTATCATTGTATGCTTTTCAATCTTTGCCCAGGCCTTTGGCTGAGTGGGTTCCCTCTTGATGCATTGCTCTTTTGTCTTGTCAACTTCGTTATTGGTTTAATTTTGTGGTTTAACGTTACAATTTTATCAGAATTTGCATTTGTTTGTAACACATCCTGGGACCATTTGCTGAAGGGCAGGTTATTACTACGAGTACATAAGTAACAAGGAAAGGTGCAGGGACTGATTTTCGATGTGCAAATATGTCTATTTAATTGAGTTTTATTATGCAGCTAATTCAAATGTATATTCAGAAGGAAACATAGTCCTTTTCAGGCGTGTGGTAAGAATTTACTTCTACACCACTTGTTCTTACCCAGGTGAAGGAACACCTTTAATTAAAACACAGAACCAAGAGAGTAACGACAATCTCAGCATGCTTCTACAAGATGTAACATTGCTAATCTAACAAAATGAGTATCTTTGATGTCCTGGCCTCTGTTGAAGGTCACAATCAATGAGCTGGTGTAGTAGATGATTAATGTTGCTGTAATAGTAACACACATCATATTCAATGTTTTCTCCTGTCCGTAGGTTTGATGCATCTGTTAGAGATCCTCAAAGCTATTTCATTTATTTGTCGAGAATTTCATAGCGGTTAGCAGCTATTTGTTATGTAGCAACCTTGATTACTCCTTTGTTTTCATTTAATTCTCTTTCTGTTCAGCACAACACAAGCACATTAACACACACTATTACAATGTCTCAATAAAAGAGCTTTTCTTTTAAGCAGCTAAATAAAGAACAGGACTGTAGCTCATCGGTTAGGCATAAGTGGGAAAGTCAACAAAATCTTTATTGTTTTGGTCATGAAGCCATGCTCTTTACTTTTTGCATTTGCTTAAATCTGAGTTTACCAAGTTTAAGCATCCTTTAGATTTGTCGGTTTGATTGGATGGCTCCCGAGGCAACAGGAGACAAGAAGATGATGTTTTAAATGAGAGACGAAAGGAAAATGTGTCAAAATTGCAGAGTTAGGATTTTGATATCAGGGTTTGATGTCAGCATGTGATGTCTGAATTTGGCACTGAAATTTAATATCAGAACGGGTAACAGCAGGCAGGTCCAGGCAAGCTGTTTAATGGAGTGGGGGAAGCCTCCCCCCTCTGTTAAATGCAGGGGCGGAGGAAGGAGGGTGGGGGGGGCGGTCTGCCCCGGGTGTCATCACTGAGGGGGGTGACATTCGGCGTGCCGCCCGCCCGCGACTCCCAAGCCTACCCCGAGCCGTCAGGGGAAGGGGTGGAGCTGCGTCGCCTTGCCGGCAGCCTTCCTTCCTTCCCCCTTCATTTTGACAGCTATGGGGAGGCTTGGGAGTTGCGGGCAGGTGGCGCGCCATTGCCCCCCGCTCCCAGAATGCTTCCTGTGGGGAGGAAGCCTCCCCTGAGCTGTCAAAAGGAAGATGGAAGGGAGGAAGGCTGCTGGCAAAGTGGCACGACTCCCTTCTCCTCCCTGCCCAGGAAGCAGCCCCCCCATGGGTGGCTCGCTCCAGCCCCATGGATGGCTCGTTCCGCCCCCCTGAGCATCTTGCCCCACCCCCTGGGATGCTGGCCCCGCCCCCAGGTGCACAGCATGTAC